AAAAAAAACAGAAACCTTTATCTTTTTATATATATACACATGCTTGTTTTATAAACCTATTCTCATTTCTCAGGATTTTCTTATTTTATGTATTCATTTGTTGTTAATATGTGGAGGGATTGGTGGCAGAGAGGTTAGAGAAGGTGGGCCTGTGATCAGAAGCTCGCTGGTTCAACTCCCGGTACCAACATCAAAATGTGGGTGGGATAGGTGAAGCACCCACACCTGTCTCCACCCTCATTTGCCCCTTGAGCAAGGCCCTTAACCCCCACCATCTACTCCCCGATAGAGAGTGTCCTAGATAGCAGCTCTCTGCTCCACACAGAGGGCTGTGGTAGCTCGGTGGTCTGTGGTTGTGTCAGGAAGGGCATCCAGCATAAAAAAATTGTCAAGTCTTCATGCGACTTTGTTCGCTGTGGTGACCCCTGAAGATGGGAGAGTGTCATTAATATGTGGTGTGCATTGTAGATCCTTTTCCGTCATGTTTGCTTTAATATGGCTGACGAGTAAAATAATGAAAACTTTTGTTTATGTTGGAGTTAATTGTTGCTACATCTGCCAGTCATAATCAGTCGTAAATTAGATTACCGTAGAGGTGGACCTATGACATCATTGTTTGGCTGTGTTTAGGCTGTCCACGTGAGAACGCAAGGGTGCAATCTGGTTTCCAACAACACCATTATGGAAATCCTAAAATGCAGTTTCCATGTTCGCAGCCTTGTTCACACACTTTTCACCGAGTTCAAATTGGATGCAGCTTAACCGTATTATCCAGAATCCTTCAGATTTTCCAGTAAAATTAAGCAATCTCTAAAATGGCTCATTGATTGACTGCTCCTTTAAAAATGAGGAATTTAGTAGGAAGACTTACTTTAAAAAAAATCAAAAAAATCCATAAATATCAGTTTCCTGCCAGATTCAGTTTATTTAAAGGCTTTTGAAAGGCTTTAAAATGTTGGCATGATGACACAAAGCATTTCAGCAGCAAACGGAACATCACACTCTTGTTGGGGGATGGACTGTCGTTTCATGTATGTTGGACATGCGTGCATGTTTTGCAGCCATAAAATACTGTCCACTGAGCCAGATTTATAGCAGTCTTACAGAAGAGTGGAATGGGCTGTTTGAATCCTGTGTTTGAGCAGGTTGTGTATTAACTCAGGGCTCAATAAGGCTAATAACAGCTCCCTAAGAAGGTACCTTTCTCTTTCTTCAGCATGTCTCTTCTAATCAGCTCCAACAAAACAAACAAAATACTCCTTTCTGCCACTGATGCACTGTTTTTCTTCTGCATTACTCACCCTGCAGTGACTCAATAATGTGTGGTCTCCTCTTTCTGACTCTTCATTTGAGACGAGAAGCAGGTAAAAATGTAAACTGGTTCCCTCCCCTGACCATTTTGTCTTTGCCTCCTCAGACCTCAGCTATTGTACAGATACTAAAGGTTTTTATTGATTTACCATGAACCCCGTCTAACTCCAGCCCGATCCCTTAAAGCTCAGCCTTTTCATGAAACCCAGCAGATTTTAGTGTCCCACATGCTCCAAGGTCAATAAAAGTCTGCAGATTTAAAAAGAAGAAGACAGGAAGCTTTTACAAAAAAAAAAAAAAAAAGTTTGATCATTTTAAAGGGATGTGCAATTCACTTTGCTAATAATTAGTGATGCAGAGACATCATTTTGGAGATATGCACAACTATTTTCCAGTTGTTCTGAACTTATTCCAAATTAGGGAGAATGTTTATTTAATAATGATTTCCACTAAGAGAAAATCAGAAAGTGGAGCAACTTTATACTAAATATTTCAAAACTCTCCTCTTATATAAAATCAGATTGAAACCAATGATTTCATAAAGGGCATCATGCCTGTTTCCATTTGCATTCTAATGTCAAATCCCGTGAACATTAAATCGGAAGTTTCAATGTAACTAAAGTTTGAAGCACCATGAAGCTTTCTTTGTCATAAACTGGGTGCAGGATGTAAAAACAGAGGCTGTAATAGGAGGCACAGCCCTGAGTCAAGTAGGCAGGCTCACAAAACAGCAACTCGTCATTTCAACAAAAGAGCAGAACAAATGAAGCCCAAGAACCAAAAAGAAACCAACAGAAAAACAAACGTTTGACAAGACAAAGATAAACAGAAACTATACACAGTATATATATATATATATATATATATACTAAAGGAGATAAATGATTAAATGCATTGCAGGTGTACTTACTGCAACTAAAATATGGTGTGACAGGAAAACATGAAGATAATTTAACCTACAAACAAAGGTGGGACTATACATCCATCCATTATCTTTACATGCTTCTTATTTTGGGGTCACAGGGGTCACTGGTGCCCATATCCAGCCATCACTGTGGGAGAGGCGGGGGACAGGTCTCCAGTCCAACACAGGGCCACATAGTGACAAACGAGACAAACAACCATTCACTCTCTCACTCACACCTAGGGACATTTCAGAGTCACCAATCAGCCTGAAATGCATGTTTTTGGTCTGTGGGAGGAAACCGGAGTACCCGGAGAAAACCCACGCATGCACGGAGAGAACATGCAAACTCCACCCAGAAAGCTGCCAGGCGGGGATTCGATCGCACAACCTTCTCACTGAGAAGAGACAACTTGACCAACTTTACCACTGTTCTGCAAAACTGGAAGTACTTTAACAAAATGAAACAGGAAGTAAAAGTTTTTTTGGGGAAAAAAAAATTTAATAAAAAAACAACAACAGGGATTTAAAACAAGGATACAGGAAATAAGATAAACTTATAAATACTACCATAAATTGTTTCTTCTTTCTTGTTGTCAAACTTATACTACATCTTAGAATGTTTTGAAATAAAAGTAACATTTCCTGAAAACTTGCATATCATCTGTCACCTTGCGTGCCAACGTTACAGAGAAACAATTTAACACTCAGAGCATGTGATGGAGATGACTCTCACCTACAACCAAACAATGTTCAGCCTAATATCTGTATAACTGACTGAGCTGTTGTGTCATGTTTTCTTCTTAAATCGGGTTGACACCAAAGCTTAATCAGTTGTACACACGTATCTATTGATTATTTGAGAAACATTAGAAAATCTACAATGGTTGGGAGATATTTTACTAACGTATTTACATGACTGCTGACCTTTCATGAGTGATGGGTGATAGTAATAAAAGGAGAATTGGGGAGTTTTCATGGTATCAAAGAGAAGAGTCTACTATTAGAGATGGTATGACGGCATCATGTCATCAAGTGTCCTTGGGTGTCATGAAAGGCGCTTTTTAAAATAAAATTATTATTATTATCATCACATAATAAAGTAACTGGTCCATTTCATATTTTCTGAGAGCACGGAAGGATAAAATGTATGGAAGTAAACACTGAATTGTGTTAAAGTGATTTAGCCATTACTGACAAAAACATCAGAGTCCTAGTTTATTTGTCTTTCGCACCACATGTGGTACATGTGGCGGAGCGAAATTGTGTACACAGGGTCCCAGTTACATCCAACAGAAGTATAAAATGCCAAAGAAAAACAGTAATAAGATCTAAGATATGAACTAAGAAAAACGTTAAACTAAAAATATGCTAAGCACAAGTAGTACATAAACAATTCGCCTAACAGCAGCACGAACATGAGTTTGTGTGAGCAAATGAGCACGAATGAACACAGCAACATGGAACAGATCAGCAGCAACATGAAACAGATCAGCAGCAACGTGATGTGATTTTTTTCACAGTGATTATCCTGGTTAGATATTCACGAGTCTAACAGCCTCAGGGTAGAAGCTGTTCCTCAGTCTAGTGTCTCTACGCTTAATGCTCCTCAACCTCCTTCCTGAGCAGAGCCGGGCAAAAAGTGTGTGTGCTGGGTGAGTGGGGTCCTTCATGATGCAGGTGGCCCTCTTCTTGCATCTGGAGGTGTAGATGTCTGTGATGGTAAGCATAAGAAAATAACAGGAAAAAAGTTTTTTTTGTTTTTTTTTTCCAGACAAGTCTCTTCAGAAAGACAATAAGACCTGGAACATTCAAAGTCTCAATACATTAATTATTATTTCCCTAATGCTTTATTAACTAATTCAGCGCTAGCACATTAGAGTAAATCAGACCGTTATTAGAGAACACTTCAGTCAACTGATCAATCTGGACCAAGCGTCTCCTCCATTATCCTCAGAGTCGAACTGGTTGCTTTAAGACGTGTTTTCCCCAGATTCATCAGGCCCTCTGCTGCCGGTCAAAGGCTCATCACGAAGCAGACGTGTTGTTAAAAATGTATTATATCGATTGGACCCTCATGCAGTGCATGTATCAGTGTCAGGTGTCTGCTCAGATTCCAAATGTGCAATGGGATGTGATGACCCCACTTTAGGCACCTCTCCTTCTAAACTCATCTCACACGGGTCTTTCATACGAAGCCGAGCTCTTATCCCCTACTGTCCTCCGAGGGCCCGCGTGGTTCTACCCTCTGGCACCGCGGGCTTTAGCAGATCACTTTATGTGGCAGATCGAGTTACACGGAGCTCCGAAGTGCTCGCGAGTATCCCTTTCACAGCCGTATTGTTGAACGGCTCGGAAAGCTCTTTGTGTTTGGGGGGCTTTACATAGATTTAGTGCGAAGGCCGTGGACAAGGATTCACTGACACAAACAAATTAGCAACTAGAAACAGCGAGAGTTTGCCTAGGGTTGTTCCACAACTGCTGCTGAAGGAGGACGATGCTCGAGGACAGAATCTGTCCTCCATCTCAGCTTCCTGCTGTGTTTTCTTGTTGCGAATCAGACGTGCAGTATTAGTTTCTGCTTTATCTTTAGAGGCATCTCATCTTGCTCTGCCACACCCACAGCAACATGAAGTGTATCCGTCTCCTCTCAACACACAACCGCAAGCTTCTAATCAAACAAGCCCAGACACACACACTTACATATGCAGACACACGCTTATTCAGCTAATGTCCGTGGCTGCAGGAGCCTGTGGTTAATAACCGTGTTTGTTCTCTCCTGCAGATGCTGGCTCGGGATCAGGAGATGACGGTAAGATTACTCACCTCCTCCTCTGTTCTAACTCCTCACACACGGCTTTTTAATATTTTCTTTTTTTTTCTATCTGCTCCAATCTACCACAAAAACAAACTAACAAATAATAATAATAAAAAACATATTGAGCGAAGTTTACTTCTGCATAAGCTCAATTTCCTTAGCGAGATCTCAGTATGTCTTCCTAAAATGAACTCTAAAGATCAGGACGTTACTCAGACATGGTAATATTTAACTAAAATACAGAAGTCCCTCACAAATTCACGGTTCGTTTCTCACAGACTTGCTACTCCGTGGTTTTCCAAAGTAACATGGACATGACGCACAATTGGCTGATTGATGGATGAGCCGCACGATCGACATGGGATTTTTATTTAAATACATTATGTTAAATTATTTTGCAACTGCTGCACCTGTCTGCAGCCCACAGCTGCAGGAGAAGCTTCCTCCTGCAGAGTGTCATAGCTCAGCTCTGCAGTGGAAAAGTGGGTGTGGCCAAGAGTGCTGGCATGTAGCTACTACTTAGTACTTGTACTACTATTCCTACTTTTCCGTTTTTCACTTATCGCGGGGCTTCAGGGTACGGATCCCCGGCGATAAACGAGAGACTATTGTATTACAGTAAGTTAAACTGCATTTACTAATGTAATGTATGTATTTAATGATGGTTCCAATACAAATGCTAAAAGGTACCTCATTATTATTATTAAGCATGCTTCTTTTTTATTATTTTCTTTTTATTTTAATTGTAGCTTTTGGTTTGAGAGTTATCTCGCCTTGGAGAAACACAAATACAACAAAACGGTGCATCAATTATGAACATTACACAATGAGATTTAGTGGCAGTTCAATGAATAACAATGAAGACATTTGCAAAAATCTGCTCAAATTCCCTCCACAAAATGACAAAAAGAGAAGACTCAGTCCTCAGGCACCGGGTGTTGTGTTAGTTTTAACAAACGGGTTTAATCAATATAGTTTGAGCTTTTAATTAATTGTTTTTTTCTCTTCAAGCTCTAAAATTTTTTAAATAGTTGGTGAATGACGTCAGTGGTTATTAAACTGTTTTGACCCCTCAAGTAGTGCCAATGAAACACCAACAGCCTCAATAATTAATAAAGCATGTTTATTTTTTTATTTAGAACTACAGTTTTTTAATATTTTGTTTAAAATGGAAGATAAATATGAGCTATTTGCACTCCTCGTTATATTTGTTTAGATTTCTGGAAATCATCTTAACATTTCACTTGTTTCCTGTTCCACTGTGGAGTCTCAGTCCTAACCTTAGGCCTTTTTAAAAAACTTGTTTTGTTTCTGTTGAAACTCCTGTTCACACACAAATACAGACTTTGGTGAGAAAAACGTTCTCAAAAAATGTAAGTTTGCTTATATGATGATTAAAATTCTTATAGTTTTTAGTATTTTTTTAAATATCTTTTTTTTGCCCTAGAAACCCAAACAACAATGGTGCCATTTATACAATTAATTTAGGGTTTATTTCACTTTATCCTGATTCTGTTGCTGTCAAACTTTGTGTCTGGAAAAAAATAACAACTGAGAGGACACAAAGTTTGTTTTCTCAGTCATCCAGGTATATAACAACAAAAAAGGTTGAATCATGTCATCTGGACTTCGTTTTTTTTTTGTTAAAAAGAAACGTTTCGCCCCTCATCCAAGAGGCTTCGTCAGTCTGAGGCCTAGCCATCTGGTATTGTTGTTATATACCTGAATGACTGAGAAAACAAACTTTGTGTTTTTGAAACCATTAGTGAAAAGGCCAGACTTCAGGGGTATCTGAGGCAGGCTTGAAACACAAGAGTCAGGGTGGCTTCTGGGTAATACCAGATGGCTAGGCCTCAGACTGACGAAGCCTCTTGGATGAGGGGCGAAACGTTTCTTTTTAACAAAAAAAAAAAAACTGAGAGGACAGTAAGAAAAAGTTTGGAGACAATCTTCAGCCAAGAAAAGAGCCTTTGCTCACTTTATTTTGTTCTTGTCGTGGATTTCAATGCCTAATGTTGAGAATTTTATTATTTTTGTGTGGATGAAAAATAAGTAAAACAGGACGAAATGTCATTAATAAAAATGGAGTACTGCAGAAACTGCTTATTTATACTTGGAAATAATCCATGATCTGTTTGCAACAACCGTTTCTTCTTCCAGGTCTGAATTTTCATTGCACTTTTTAATGTCACATAGAGTTATTGAATTTTATGAGTCTATGAACCTGTTTTCAAATGAACGCTAATTCAGTTTTCTATCAGACGGACGTGTGAGCAGGCCACCGTTTGTGACCTTTGGATCATAATGCAGTCAGTGTCAGTCTGATTGTGCTGCCAAGTGGCTCTTTCCTCTCACCTCCACGAGGAGCTTCACCACTTTAGAATCTGCTCAATGTTATTGCTGCTGTCAGACAGTGAAATCGTTACTACGTCTCACCACTGCTCTGCAAAAGATACAAAGATGGAGGACGTGGCATCGGCTGCAATTCATTTCAAAACCTCAATTATTTTCCCAGTCGAGCTCGCCTGTCACTCGTCTTGGTCTGGGAATGCAGAGGGAAGCCGGGGTGTTTACAAAAGAACAAAAACAGTGCAAACAGGTCTCTTGTTGCGTTATAACAACTGGTTTCTGTGGAAGTCTCTGCTCATGGTTACTGATGTGAATGATGATGAGATGAAGAAAAATTAAATGACGGAAGGTTTTCAGTCACAACTTTCATCACAGTTATGCTCTTGCACGTGTTCACAGGAAGGAAATCATGTGAAATCAAAACTATTTTGCATGAAAATCATTATTTAAAGATAGAAAATTGTTTGAACAAGCCTTATTTGTACAGTTACTGTGACATGCAGGTTTATTGTTTCTACAGTATTTCATGAAAATATGAGTATTTCATGAGTATTTTTTGCGTCTCATTCAGGTTGGTGTTTACTACACTTTTTATATATTATTATTGTTAGTGTATATCTTAGATCAGGGGTGCAAACACTTTATCAGCATAATTTTAAAATGACCAAGTCAAAGTGATCTACCTTCTTTAAGGTCCCGTTTACACAAGGACAACATCTGGAAATGTTGGTGTTTTTCAATGTTTATTGGGGATAATAAACGAAAAAAATGAGCGAGTTTACACAAATACGCTGTAGTTTCCATGTTGGGTTGCCAGATAAGAAATTATGAACCATAGTACTGTGGCTTTAAAATGATAACATTTTAACCTAAACTTTCATATGTGCTGAGTAAAGATATTCTGAGATGAGGTGTGCATTGTGTTTGTTGAACATGTGCACAGATAAGCAGGGGTAAATAAGACATTTTAAATTTATCTGGCAACCCTGATTCTGGGCTCAGCTGCATTCATTGTGCTTGCAGCGTCTGCATGACGGTTACATCCAAACTGATGAATACACTAACAACATCTCTTTGGACTGTGGATTTTATTAGTTTTGCTCCTACATGCTGAAAAAGGTTGAGTACAAAAAACACTCTGTGCTATGCCATTTATTATAACTGTTGTTAGCGCAGATAAGCGTTGGACTCCAGACGCCTGTAATGCACATGTGCGACTTCACATTTGGAGCATTTCACACCTCTGTGGGGAGTTCCCATGAAAATCTCCATTTTGCGGCCTGGATTCAGAAACCTTTGGTTTCAGAGAGAATGAGGGCTGTTGTTTGTCAAGAAATGGACGAATGTTTCACGTCGTGTAAACGGGGCCGCCGACTGGCTACCCTCTCTGTCATTCAAGTGAGAAATTTCATAGCGAGGATGGATGACAGGCTGACAACTATTTTTTTTAATGCATATGAACTACCCATAAAACCTTTGCAATCTACGTATTGAGCACCCCTGTCTTAGATTCCAGTATACTGTTTTTCTTTATTTATACTTTATTTATACACTGGTATATTTTGTTTTTTTGTGTAACTGGGACCTTGAGTACACAGTTTTGTTCCACCTGATGTACCATATGTGATGCGAATGTCATTAAAGTCTCATTGAACCTTGAAGGATTAATAGTTTTTACATAAACATTTACAGATTTGCATGTTTCCTTTTTTTTTTTGTTGCACTAACTACTGCTGAGCCTTTACAGTGTTCATCTAAAATTACTTTAAATGGGAAACATACACACTAAATTACAAAAACATTGTTTAATTTTTCATCCACAGCTTTTGGAATAAAAAGCTATTTACAATTATCATAATTTTTGCCAACGCTAATATTTGTCTGCAAGGTAAGGCTTCCAGGCAAACATTTTCAAGTTTTTATTTGAGTACATCTGCAGTTTGAGCCATATTCATTAAACAAATGACACCACTGAATAAAGTTAAAGTGAAGTGTGAAGTTGTATGACACCCATTTAGGAGTTTCTTTACCAAATATAACCCAGTGTTTGATGTGGGCCAAAGAGTGAAGCTTAAATGCGTGAACAGGTGATCAGGTAGATGCTCAGGAGCAACAAGCTGCTGCTAATTTACCAGCTTCTAATTATCAGCGCGTCTGCCTCGTTTCAAGTCTGTGCTAATTTACTTTGGGCATTACTGAAATGAGCTGGTTGCACCTGGGTTTATGGATCAGTGTGTTTCTGTAATCTCACAGTTAGAAGTGGACAAATTAACTAATTTAGAATATAAATTGATCCGGAAAGTAAACACAGCCCCACTGTCTCTTCAAATATATAATCTGACAAATAATGTGTTGCTTACTTTTTAATTCTATCTTTTTTTTTAAGACATGTTTGCCGTACCATATTTTTTTGCCTATAAGTCACTACTTTTCTTTTTTGTTGCATAATTTGCATGCCCTGCGACTTATATGCCAAAGCATTATATTTATGGATTTTTTTCACATATTTATGAACCAATCTTGGGCTGAGATTTGACCGTTTTCATTCATTCTGACTGAAAATATTGAACACTACCATTTTCAGCCGCTAGATAGCACTCGATTAGTATGGCATGCCATTGTGTCATGTAATAGGTAAAAAGTGG